CAGCCGCTTCCCCAGCCGCATGGGCTCGCGCGTCCCCAGCGCGCGCCCCAGTCGCCGCGGCAGCAGAGTCGGCAGCCGCGTGGACCTCATGACGGGCCTCGGCATCAAAACCGCCATCGAGCCCGAAGAACGCTTCATCGAGCCCGACTTCATCGAAGCTGACGAGGACTCTGACGGCGACGAAGAAGAAGTCGCGCGGCTAGCTCGCGAACGCGGGTTTGGCCTCGGCGGCTGGATGGATCGACTAATCGGGTGGTCGCTTTTTGCCGTCGATGAGGATAGAGAGGGGTCGTCGGATTCAGAGGATGAAGATGACGAGGAGGGGGGGGATGCAAGGGAGGGCAAGGGATTGAGTGGGAAGGACTTGAAGTTGGATGATTTGACCAAGGAGGAACTTAAGCTGCGTCGTGAAGTTGAGGCTAAGCGTAGGAAAATGGAGCGTGAGGCCATTATTGCGGCCGCGGCGGTTAAAAGTCAGCATGGTGAGCATGAGGTGGGTAGTCGACCAAGTACGGCGGGTGAAGGGGAAGGTAGTGAGGAGCAGTCGAGGCGAGTCAATGAGGAGGCGGGAGGTTGGCAGGATGCTGCGTGGTTACTTAGTGTAGCTTCCAAGGCTCTTTTCTAGATGTTCGGTTTGGAGGGACCGTTCATCTTCCCCCTTTTTTTTTGCTTACGGCCTCTAACCATTAAATCATTTCTTTTTTCTCTGTTCTCTGAATGAATTTGATAAAAAGTAATTGCATACAATGTTTAAGCTAGAATGGCAGACAATCTATCCAAAAGAAAAAAGTAGGTTTGTTATTGTGACATGAAATATATCAATTATCCTACATACTCTTCAATGTTTTCTACATACGATAGTTATACTAAAAAGAAAAAAAATTTACCCATCACCCATCCAAGCACCAAACAACCACATCCCCCACCCTCCTCCAATCATCATGAAAGTGCGAATTGAACCCCCTCCAACACTCGGTATACCTCGAACCCGCCAAATGCTCCTTCAGCACCCCTTCCAACTGTTCAAAAAAGACAAGATTCTGCGGCCACTCCCGGCGATACTTGCGTTTAAACTTTGGATCGTGGCGCATCCAATGCTGACCCGATCTGCTCCCTGCATCCTTCACCGTCTCAACATCTTCCATGTTGGCCTGGAGCCAGGCTGCAGGGCCAGGACGGATGTAGAACTCGTCTGCCTCATCCAGGTAGGACTCACGGTCTGCGAGAGGAACGTGAATAGGGGGTTCGCAGGTCAAGGCCCAAGCGGAGATTTCAGGGTAGACGAGATGGGAGCGCCAGGGCGTCGAGTGGCAGGGCATGAGAAAGGCAACAGTGGTATTTGTGATGGTATTGATGCGGGAGCCCTGGTGGTGATTGTGGGAAGAAGACATGGATGATAGCGTATTGCGCGTTTCATGTTTATGGCGGATGTAGCCGAGGACGTCGATGACGCCACGTTGATGGACCTGCGACGCGTAACCGGCTAGAAGTATGTTTGCTGTAAGAAGCAGGAGGATGGCGCCTCGTCGCCATGGTGCTGCCGTGTGCGCCGGCAGAAACTGGGTCAACGGCTGCGCAGATATTACGTGGAGAAAGGGGAGGACAGGGTACAGGAAGCGGACTTCCTTGTGCGAGATTAGACTTAGCGTCACGGTCATGATCATGGTCGTCCATGATAGACGGGTTAGGATACGACGGCCTACAGTCGTGTCTTGGTTTTGAGGCTGTAGTGATTGCCATAAGCCGACAATGGCAAATGGGAGTGCGGTGGTTAGCAGCAACGGCAAACCCTCGGTGAAATAGTAGTCAGCACGATTCTTGCCGTAAAAAACGGCTAGAGACTGGGCAATGTTAAAGTAGAGAAACCGGAGAGACGGAATGGTCCAGACTCCGTAATACAAGCGGTCGGATGCGAGTGAGGCAAGGAAGACAACGCAGCTTTGTACCGTCAGTTTCCATGTTTGATCTGCTGACTTGTCTTTTTTTCTCTCTCACACCACGTGTAATAGCAGGTGGCGAGAGAGACGGACGGAGAGCATGTGTGTGCATGGCCTGTCACGAACAAAGACCTTGTACTACTACAAGGGCGAGGAGATGGTGCTGCGGATGCAGGGAGGACAAGAACGTACCCACAGAGCAAGGTTTCGCGGACCAGCACATACCGCAACGTCTGAGAAGCTTGCCACAGCGTTGGAAGAGCTACGGATATCCAGATGAGAGCATTGGTGGGCCGGAGAATGCATGCAAGCGCAGCCAGTAGTAGGGAGAGACGCAACCTGCATGAGCGTGAGCCCAACGCCAACTAAAGAGGGGGGGGACGAATGCACGCCCAGAAAGGGATTTTCTTAATGCCACGACTTACTGGGAGAGGGAGCCGAGATGGGTATGTGAATGCTGCTGCGCTTTAGCACTAGGATCCACTTGCCTGGTGTCCGTTGTACCCTGCCAAGGCCAGTGGTAGATGGCAATGGAGGTAATGGTAGTCTCAAGGCAATTGGACAGGGTCCGGGTAGCGCAGAACCATTGCCAGGGGCTGCAGACAGACAATGCAAGCTAAGACGGGGAGCAACAAGAGAATGTCAGAAAAGGGCAAAGAGCAGATGGGGGAGAGGCTTGGAGATTGCAGGAGGATTGGCGTACAGCAGCAAGGGCAGTACGGCTGCCACGACCGTAAACTTTTCCGGCGAGCTTCCATGTGTAGCAGTCGAGCAAGGCTGCGGAGACGGCCTGGGTAACTTTCGGCGCCACTAGGAGGATCTCGGCTTTAGCTGGTAAGCTCAATCCACTGGCTTGAGCGACATGTGCCGCGACACGATAGACGGCTGCAAATAGCGCTGGGTGCAGGGAAGAGCGCAAGCGGCTTGTCCACTCCTGCTTTCATGGTGAGACTGCAGCCGAGTATGTGCAAAGTGTATATATATCATGTGTGTGCGGAAAGTAGTCGTGGGGGTAGTGGTGAGGGGAGGGTGTGGAATGAAGGGGGAGGGGGAGGGGGCTGAAGTTTACCCAAGTGATCCAGGCATTGCTCGCGTCGCCAAAGGCTAGCTGCCAGGCAGGCTCGAGAGACTGGAAGAACTCATCTGGCTGGAAAAAGGTGTGCAAGGCCAATGCGTTTGTGAGGCGGAAAGCAAGCAGCAGGGCCAAAACAGGTGGCGCCGAGTCACGATAGCTGGTAGGAAGATTCCGTGGTGGAGCACCAGTCCCGCTCGGATTCGTGTCGCCTGCGGAGTCGGTGATGGAGGGCATTGGGCAATCAGAAGGGTCGAGCACAAGCGCGAAGCGAAGGTAGGCGAACTGAAGGGAGGGTGAGGTGGCCGGCAGAGAGAGCGATGTGATGCCGGCCGACTAGCGCAGCTTGGCGCAATGCACACGCCGGCGGGACTTGTCATGGATTGGGTGGTTGTGGTGTCGAGTGCAGAAAATTGAGGGTGAGAGCCTTACCGGATTAGGACTTTCACGATGATTGCTGAGGAGGCGGGCGGCGCCTAGACTGGCCTTCACCTGGCCGGGTCCTTTTTTTTCCCCTCGCAGCATGCACTACAGGGCCACTGTGCTCAGTCAGAGGCCCGTGACGGTGAGAGTTGGCACCAGGTGACCATATTGGATGATTTTTGGGATTTTTTGGTCTGCAGGCGGTCTGGAAATGGGCACTGCATGCAGCAAGAGGTTGCGTCAGGGAGAAATTGAAGTGGACACGAAGCAAGCGGAGGTGAGATGAGCAGTGTGCAGTGTGCAAGTGGTGAGAGGGGTGGGGATGGGGATGGGGCCTAGTCAAGGCGACACCGGACGAGGGCGGCGGTTCTATTGCAAATTCTACGCGTAGAGAAGGACAGGGGAGGGATGGATGGATGGACAAGGCGGGTGTTGTAGGGCAAGATAGTGCCGGGTGTGTATGTATGTATGTGTATGTACATGTGCGCGTATGTATGTATGTATGTAAGTACATATGTATAGTATGTCGTAGATAACATGCGGGTGAAGGAGGGGGGGAGGGGGGCGCTGGTGGGTACTGAGGAGGAGGGGTGGGCCAATGGCAGGCGACAAGTCACGGGGCAGGCAGGGTGGCAGGGTGGCAGGGTGGCAGCGGGAGCGAAGAAGCAAACAAGTGATTATGGATTGCAGGCGTGGCAGCGAGGGCGACACAGTGCCTGGTGCAGCGACGAGGGTAAATCTGGGGAAGGGCGTGTGCTGGAGAGTCGGGCTCGTGGTTGTGGCTCTTATCGCGCTTCATCGTCTAATGCGGCCTGATGCAGCAACCGTCGATGCCGAACCCCGCCCCTCAGCGCCATCCAAGACCCAAGGCTTGTTGAGGACAGGCCTGGATGAGCCAGTGAACGCCTCGGCCCATGCACCACGATTGCACTGCCCATACCCGTTGGCGTCACCTGCATCCTAGCGCCATGTACGTGATGGCCTGCCCGGGCGCAGCCTGTGTTGCTCCATGGTGGTGTGGGTGTGGGTGTGTGTGAGAGAGAGAGGGCGCGAGGGGGGCATGGGTGCTGGCTGAGGGTGGGAGAGTAGCATGTATGTGGTGGTATTAGTGTGTAGTAGACAGAGAGCGACTGTGCGCACGCGTCCCCAAGCAAGCGCAAGACAAATCAATGGCGGCTCGTATCGCAGCAGCCCTGGCCTCAACAAAGCCGCTGCTCGAGTAGCTGGAGTAGCTGGAGTAGCTGGAGCTGGAGCTGGAGCGAGCTGGGCCTGGCCGTGTATTCGTAGTCTACTTCCATACACCACCACGATCGTCGCCGTCCGCCATTCACCCAGCTCCCAACTCACACCCACACGCCCACTGGCGCCGACTCGCCATCGCCCTGACCCTCGCCCTCGTCGTGCCCTAGCCCGTCCGGCATCGCCTATCCTTTGCGCGATAGTGTCCCCACAAGCGTCGCCAGTGCACGCCCCCCCGGCCTGTCTCTCCCGCCCTCTGAGCGTCATCCATGGGCCCCGAAATACCAGCGACCATCACTTCCCCATTCGGAAAGCCCAACGGAGCCAGTCTTCTGCCTCTCAACTAAACCCATATCCACCCTATCCACCCCTTCTCACCACCTGCCTGCTCCCCCTCAACCACACGGACCCTCTCTGCTTCCCCGGCTCTACCACGCCCCAAGCTGCTGCCCTGCCTCGGACCTGACCACCTGCGCAGCCCTCTCCCCCCCCGCGAAATGCCACTATCCGCCCACCATCTCCGCCTCGACAAAGCGTAAAAAGTGCTGACATGGTTGCACTGCTGCCATAATCTGCACCCATTGAGTAGCAGTCGCCATGCGAGACCCAAATGAGGCCTTGACAGCCCATGGGGACCCGCTCCACACCTGCGACAAAGGCCCGCCAGAGTCACTCATGTGCGACTCGACCTCCAACAACGACGACGCGCGCCCGCCCTCCCAACACGACGACCACAGTTCCCACTCCAAACCACCTTCGCCAGACAACCATGGCCCCGAAACACCAGGCCGTCGCCCCAGAGACCGCTCGCACGCCCTCGACGTCGATGAGAACGACTGCACCCCCCGCTCCGAAGTACCCTCCGTACCAGACGCCCTCAACGCAACCCTCCACTCCCACCCCCTCGACCCTGAACCGTCCTACTTCTCTCCACAGCCCCTCCGCATCTACTCGTCGCCCATTCCCCACTCCACGCCCGCCTCGTCCAACCCCTCGCCCAGCACAAGCACTCATGCCTCGCACGCCTCGCTGGCCAGTGTCGACGAGACGGCCCCCTCGCCCGCACCTCAACACCCAGACCGCCCTGTCTTTTTGCGCGACATCTCGTCAGTATCCACCGCCAGTAACACGACAGTCCGCGCAAACTCGGTAGACCCCATCTATCCCCCCTTCGCTGCTCCGTCGCGCCAGCGGGATGGGCCAGTCTATCCCAACCAGTCCTACGCCGCCCTCCACCTCCAAAAGTACCCGCAGCCCTATGTCCCTCCCATCGTGCGTTCCCGCAGCTCTCACCCCGCACACGCTGCTGCCAACTCGCTGTCCAGCCTCGGCGCCTTTGGCCTTACCTATGACCACGTCCGAGACATTATGGACTCTGGACCCCGTACGGTTGGCAACTCGCCCGTGAGCACGCCAGGCCTCTTCAACCCCACCAACCGCCGCATGTCTCAGGACACTGATGCCACAGACGATGGAACCTACTCAACCCCTTGGCTACACCACACGCACAGGCAAGCCCCCAAGGAGACTCACATCGCCGACGTCCAGGCCGACCCAATCTCTGGCCGCAAGATTGTAAACCAATACGAGATCATAGACGAACTCGGCCGCGGCGTCCACGGCAAGGTCAAGCTGGGCAAGGACCTGGTGCACGGACGATACGTTGCAATCAAGATCGTCGATCGCTATTCTAAGCGCAGACGCTTGGGCAAGAACAACAGCCACGAGGACAAGATCAAGCGCGAGATAGCCATTCTGAAAAAAGCCCGGCATCCCAACATTGTTAGCTTGCTTGAAGTCATCGACGACCCGGCTAAGAAGAAGGTCTACATTGTACTTGAGCACGTGGAGCTGGGCGAGGTCAAGTGGCGGACTGAAGGTGCCAAGGAAATATGCCTCGTGGAATGGCGTCGCTTCAAGCGAGAGTCTCAGGGTGTCTTTGACAACGACAGTGCCGCTCGGGAAGATGAAAACATCATCCGCGTAGCCCATCAAAAGCTTGCCCGCCAGCAACGCCGTGCAGCCAAGGAGGCCCATCTTCGCCGCAAGGAAGGAGAATCTGACATGGCTTGGAGTCTCGAAATGGGGATGGAGTCGGAAGATGAATACTCGGAAAACGGTCGCGGCTCTCAATCATCCAGCCGCACCGAGGAGCGCCCACGTAGTCGAACCCAGCAGCACCACGACCGACAGGACCCAGGGAGCTACCACGACGACCACATGGAAACCGCATTCCGATCACCTGAGCCAATGCGCAACTCGTGGGCCGATGGGCTCGAGGGAACCATGTACGGTCCCTACGACTCAGACTTCACCCGGGGACGCGTGCCGAGCCTTGCCGGTAGCTCCTCGTCTCGCCTGACGGACCCTGACGAGGAAATACCCGACCACTTCAACTACGTTCCCCTCATGACCACTCAAGCTGCCTGGGAAGCCTTCAAAGACACTGTCCTGGGCATAGAGTATCTCCACTATCAAAATGTCATCCACCGCGACATCAAGCCGGCAAATCTTCTCGTTACTCGGGAACATCGCATCAAGATATCAGACTTTGGTGTCTCGTATCTGGGACGGCAAAAGACCGACGAAATCAACGGTGATCAATCGGAGACTGAGCAACAAGAGGCCGATGAAGCAATCGAACTCGCAAAGACAGTTGGCACTCCCGCCTTCTATGCTCCCGAGCTTTGCCGCACAGAGACCGATGCAGAAACCCCTTCGATTGATGGCGGAATCGACATTTGGGCTCTTGGTGTTACGCTGTACTGCCTCATCTATGGCCGTGTGCCTTTTCACGATACCAATACCTTTACCTTGATGAAGGTCATCAGTGAAGACGAACCATACATACCGCGATTCCGTCTTAAGCCTGTGGCAGAGCACTCCAACTCGCGGCCAAGCTCGCATGGACGCAATACCCAGCCTACGATGAGCAGCAAGAGAGCTCCGCACGACCTTGAGTACGAGGAGGTTGATGAAAACCTACGTGACCTTTTGCGACGCCTATTGACCAAGGAACCACGACACCGGATCACTATACCAGAAATCAAGCACCATCCGTGGATACTATCAGGCATTCCCAATCACATTTCCTGGGCCGAGGAAACCGACCCGAGCAGGTCGTTCGAAGGCAGGAAGATTCAAATTTCCAAGGAGGATGTCGAAGAGGCCGTCGTCCCTATTGGTTTCGTGGACCGTCTCCGTTTTGCTGCTAAGAAGACATCCGACTTTGTCAAAGGCTTCACGGCTCGCAGTTCCGGATCACGACGTCGTGCCCAGAGCTCAGCAGCAAATCAGGACACCCCAAGCATTAGCGCAAACTCCTCTAGCAGCACCATCAGCCAAGACGCTCGACCGTACGAAGGCAGGCGCGGGAGTCTGGCACCAGGTGCTATCTTGGAGATTCTGACTCGCTCCCGTGAGTCTGAGCATCCTCTTTCCCATAGCGTTACCGCTAGTCCAGAGGCAAAGGAGCGATCCAAGTATTTTGACAGCCCCAGCTCCCGGACCGCATCGCCTGCGCAAATCACCGAGAGTCAACGACCTCAACTGCAGGACCGTGCACTTTCGTCTATCAACACCATACGCCAATCGGACCTCCAAGGTCGTTCAGGATCACCGGGCATTCCGCCGGCTTTACCTGGCACCCCTATGGCCCTAGACACCCCCGGGGGCTCACAATTAGGAGGCCTGTTTGGTGGCCTTCCACGACGCGTGGTCAACAGCATGAGAAGCAGAGATCGGCTAAAGCCCCCAAAAGAACATAGCCGCACGAGGTCCATCGACAGACTGGTTGGATGTGATGATGATGCGCATGCAGTCCCAAGTCTTGCAATTAGCACAACTTGTGCTTCAGGCCAAGTCAACCAGCCCGAGGCCCTGAAAGAGACGTCGTCACCCATTGCCCGCACCTCGTCTCCTGCCAACTCTGAGGCACCGTCTTTTGGCCATATTGATGCCTCGTCGCGGCAATCGTCATTGTCGTCATTGTCATCTCGTCTGCGTAGAAACTGGGCTACTGCAAACGATGTTGAAGTTGGACCTTTACTAGGCATATCGCCAGATTCTCGTGCACCGCCATATCCGCCTCAACCTAGCGACCGGAGACCCTCCAGCACCATCTCTGTCGCACAAGAACAGCCCGAAGAGGTTTTTGATCGTGCAAAAGACGAGTATCGTCGACGGCTTGGGGTAGAGCAATCCATGGCTCGTGAACGGTCAAACTCGGCAGCACAACGGCCCCATTCTTCCCTTGGTCAGGTTGCCTGTCCTCCCAGCCCGGACGATGAGATTCTCTTCAACCGGCAAAGCAACCAAGAGTACTGGAACCGAAACGACCAGTCTTCCGAGAATAGTCCTCTCGGCGGATCAAGCCGTGGTCTTGCTCTTTCATCTTCCGAGGATCAATTTTCTGCAATGTCACAATCTGAATCAAATCCATCCATTCCCTCGGTTGCCTCTGTTGGTTCACCAAGCCAGGGTGGATGCGGCTCGTTCGATGATGATTCTTGGATGACTTCATCGACAGTTCGCTCTTTTCCTAGTAATGAGTTCGAGCCTCCAGCTGACGACGCCTCCGGCTACGACGGGGACCATGCAGTCGAAAGCGACGAGGACGATGACAGTGAGGAAGACGGTTTAATGATGGGCTTCTCGAGGAAGAAGATACCCATGCACAAGTCCAACCGCAGCAACTCGGTCTCCAATGGTGAACTAGCGCGCTCTACTCTACATCTCGGAATGAACTCTCGTCGTCGCTCCACCCGCAGCGGGAGCAACGGGACTGTCAAGAAGATTCCCCCACCAGAGCCCACGCCAGCTCACGAATGCGCATCTGAATCGCAATAAAGCGCAAAACACACCGTACACAGACATCTCTACTGTCATCTCCTGTCATAAATTACACGATACCCAAGATCTACCGTTGTACGACTACGCCATACGTTTGGAGACACCACCCCGTTTCACCCCCAAGTGTACATATACGAATATCACCGAGCAAAGCAACATGACATTATCATTGAAACCAAACCAAGTGAGGCGGGCGCAGGGCGTTTTGCACATCAACTTGGATCTGATAGCATGCATTGGAAAGGAGCCTTTTTTTTTCTCTTAACCTTAAAAAGACGGCGTTCTTTTTTTGTTTCCTTGTCTAACCCTTTGTTTGTTCTCTCATCCAATATATCTCATGTTTTTTGCTCTGAAACTTCATCTATTCTGTATCTATCCTTTTCTTTGACTGTTTTTCTTTCAGTTGCGAAGTGGGAGTTTGTCTTTTTTTTTCTTGGGTTGTTGTTAAAGCTGGGGGTTTTGGTGCTGACGATGAGATGATGACGAAGACGAGTGCGTGTGCGTGTGCGTGTGTTGTGTGTGTGTGTGTGTGCCTAGGTATCCATTTTTAAACCGGGAATCCTGTTGTTTTTTGTCTTCCCATTTCCCGATCTATGCGCGCGAAACGAAGGAAATTTCTTGGCTGTTTGCTGTTCCTTGCTGTTTTTTATTATCATTATCGAAAGCATTTGCATGGGTTAGGTAGACATTATACACGTGTTTGTGGCGTCGCGGGAACATGGGGGGGTTTTTTTTTCTCTTCTCCTCTTCTTAGCCTTTTCGTTACACTTAGGGGAAAGCCAAGGGGAGGAGGCGACGGCGGCGATGGGGCGATGGCGATGATGGCGGATCTGCATTTTATCGGGGTTTGCTTAAACGCTTGCAAAACGATACTGATACGATCAACAAAATGGCATTTCTGGCTGCACACCAAAAAGCCTGTTCTGTTCCACAAGTCTGTTACTTACCCTTGCTCTCCTCCTTCCTCTCTCCCCCCCTTTCCCTTGCCTTCCTCCTCGGTAGGTGTACATTCCCATACCCTACCCCCCCCCGTCTCTCTTCACACCTTCCGCACAGCCCCTCCCCCAATTCCAGCAATGATCCCCCCTCACGCCAGCAACCCCCCCCGTTCAATTCTCATCTGCCCAAACTCGTTGAATCCTCAGCCGCCGATCCCACCCCCCCAACCCAGCCCCACCCACATAGCTAACTAACCCTCAAACCATCCACCCAACTTACTTTTTACCTTACTCGACTTGTAATTTTTTTTCCCAGTAAAAGCCCAGCCCGCTGCGCACTGCACTGCACTGCACTGCACGCGCAAGCCGCCGTGCGCCGTGCGCCGATCGGGGCTCCTCCTCCTCCTCCTCCCCCTTGCTCGCACACACACACGCTTGGTTTGTCGATCCAGCGTCAAGTTTTCGATATGCAATGCCCCATCACCCTTGTTTGCTGTCCTTTACAAGTTTCGAATTTTTTTTGTATGTGTGTGTGTATGTGTGGTTGCAAGCAAGCGTGTTGAGCTGGGCCGAGTGGGTTTGCTAGTAGGGCAAATGGTGCAAGGCTGGGGGGCTGAGGGTGGGTTTGTTGAGGGAGGGTGTGTGTGTGAGGGAGGGTGTGTGTGTGAGAGAGAGAGGTTGAGGGAGACGGTGGGCATGGGGCATTGGCATTGGCATTGGCATGGGTTACCATTGCAATTGTATTGATTCACTAGTTTGTTATTTGAAGTTGCTATCTGTTTATTTATTTATTTATTTCTCCATGTGAATATTTGGGGAGGTGGGATGGATGCGGTAGTGTATCCGGGGTTGTCGTTTTTTTTTGCGGGGTGGGAGGAAGGATTGATATTTTTTTTACGCGGAGAGGGTGTTTGCGGGGTACAGTTGAGATGTGGATTCCAATGTGGATTACTTTGCGCCACTTTTCCTTTTGTTCATTGATGAACGAAAGAAGAAGAAGAAGAAGGAAAGGGGGTATTGTTTGCTTTGCTTGTTTGGTTACTAAGTTTGGCATACCTACGGAATTGTGTGTACACCTATGTGTGTGTGCGCGAATAAGGTTCTCGCGACCTTGTTGAACGAGTAAGGTGTACTTGGCTCAGTCGCGTAAGTATGCAATTACCCTCCCTCGTCTACTCAAACCGGTGGGTGGGGAGTTCGCATCAGGAATTACGTACAAACACCTACGCACACCTACGCGAGATTGAACAGGGGAAAGCAGAACTCCTCCGGTACGAACCCAAGAAATTGTCTGATTGGAATGAGCTACACCTCGGTACAATGCATGCGTATGGACGCGTTGGGAAAATACCTGCATCAAGCATGCAGCAGACTGACATACATATGTACATACGTGGGTTATAGCAAGCAACCTCTGCAAAAGCCCCCCCTCTTCCCGTGTCCCCCAGCAAACTAAACTAGAACAAACGCAACTTGCTGCGCCGTACAGTTGAGCGACATGCACGCACGACGTCATTTCTCTTTCTCTCGTTATTCTTTCCTGAGCAAAAATGTTTGTTAGTGCTGATTCCCATATGCTCTCGCGATGCAGTTGATCGTGCCAAGCATCGCAAGTCTTTTCTCTCATTGGCATGTCGGACTTGTTATTGGTTCTGTGGCTTGACGCGGGGTTTTGTCCTTTACTTTTCGTTCGCTACGGTAACCGAGAGGGCATATGTCGGGGATCGGTGATGAGGAGCAGGGGTGGCCTTAGCGTCTTGGGGGCGAGAATGACGGCTTATTAGTAGTATGGTGATTTGGGCGTTCTTCGGTGTTGAGGGAGGGAAGGAATCGGTGGCTTTTTTTTTTACTTTTCGCGACAGAGAAAAAGAGGGCGAGGACGGGTAGGGCTGGTGGCCTGGTTTGCATAGCTGAAGAAGGCGTAATCTGAGTCATCTCGGATTAATTCACAAAGTATTGGGGCGCGATTAAGGGTGCGGTGTTCGATGTGCGAAGAAGACTTCTAGATCTAGATACTAGTGGACGGCTGAGCAGGCTTGTTCCCTCTTGTTCAATTGCCAACACTGCGGTCAAATGAACACTCTATTGACTCCACTTGGTATGCAGCTACTCTCCCGTATGCTAGCTTCTTGTAGCTTTGCCATTTTTCCCAACATACCTGCACAGCTATATGCATATGTAGGTATGTCTATCCTGTCCTTTTGAAAATGCCATTGCGTTATCAACCATGCATATGCACTGCACTGCGCAGTCTTACCAACATTTGGGGTACCCCAGGCTCCTTTCCCAAAGCACTCAAACCTGCATATCTCAGCGCACATCACCTTGCATTGGAGAACATGCAGCGGCATCCTTCTCGTATTGGCATCTCACCCCACATATCGGGGCCTGATTTTCCAGTCACCTTTTTCCAGTCACCTTACTCGCACCTGCCACACTAGAATCTTAGCATGGTTCGATATCGCGTGGCACGTAAGAAGAGTAAGCGACTGTATGCATGACATACGGTTGTGTCTTCCGATGCCATATACAGTTGATAGTTCTTACCGCCGTTGGACCTATAACCGTGCCCAAACGGCGCCCACGATAAAGAATTGTTAATTGCCCAGTGTCACAACCCCCAATTTGACGGAAAAGTCTCGTGTACATAATTATTCTCGTAACCGCTGCAAACGCCAGCAAACTTCTTAGGTCATGAGCTTTGACATTTTTCCTTTTTCTCCTCACCGGCTTCACTTCTTACCTGTGCTCTAGGCACGAAGCATCATCCTAGGACAGGTCTGCAGCACTACACGTATGCATACGCTGGTTCGCAGGCAGCCATCATACAGTGCGTGTTCACCACCAAGTCTCGCATGGCCCAAGATTGATTGGTTCGACTCAAGTCCAGACGCACAAGCCTCTGATAACGCAACACCTAATGATCCAAAGCGCTTGACTGTTGACGAATTGGCTAGACCCATTGTCTTGCACTCTTTTTATGCACATCATAGTTGCGTCAATCACACCGATCAATAACCCCGTCGTCTCGGTTCCTTAGCATCGCTTCGAAGGCATCCTGGAAAAAGGCTCCACAGATCGGAACATGGTCGGTGCGGCTGTAAGGCTGATTCTCGTGTGCATTGGACGGTGAGAGGGTTCGTGATGGGGCAGAGCAGAGTGGGGTTTGGGTATAGGGACAGACGCGTGCGAGAGAAAATGGAAGAATGGGCGGAGCTGGCCGAGGGTAAGCGTCAACGGTGTGACTGTGCATGGGTTTGTGAAATGGCATGATTCTTGCTCGGGTAAGGTGAACCAGGGTAATAAACAGATAGAGAGTGGCTTATGAATTCGCAAGTTTGCACTTGTGGAGGCAAATGGAAGGTAAACGTGCGACCATAGCGTGACCTAGGTAGCTAGGCCCACAGGCAACTACGTAGGCCGTTACTTCTTCGTCCTAGTACTTTTGCGTGTGCCTTCAACTAGCGTTTTGACAGGACCAGCTTTCCGTTTTGTACCTTTCTTCGCTGGGCCCTTAGTCACCTCCTCTTTGCTGTCTTTACCAGCATCGGGTTTTGTCTCTTGCGTCTCTTCTTCCTTGACGGGGCCCTTTTCATCACCACCAGCTTGGCTGTCCTCGTCTTCCTCCAGTGTCCCAACATCCTTCCCTTCTTTCCCAAGCACCCAAGCCACCTTTTCTATATCTACCGCTCTTACAATTGGCCCAGGTTTTTGATCTGGACTCTTCCCTAGCCTCATCCTCAGTTTCTTTACTCTTACAAACATCATCTCATATTCCTTGAAATTATACTTGATCTTCCTCTGCCATCCCGCACTTTCCTTAGCTTTGACTTCAGAATCCCAGCAAGACCAACGGAACAATTCATCAGAGAAAAATGGAATTTCTTCAGGCCGGAGAACGGAGAGGAGAAGAGACGACGTTGCTGGTCCAATTCCTTTTAGACTAGCTAGTATTTTGAGTGCCTGAATGATATTTGCCTGCGAGCACTCATCATCTGAAATTGCCGCAAAGGCTTTCTTCGTAGTCTCTTCGACTGCTTGTGAAGTATTGCTTTGCACGAGACCAAGTAGTGCAGGTCGGAATGTACCATGTTTTCTACATACGAGCATTAGCCGTGCTTTATGGGGCGTTGGAATGATGAGACTAACAGTTTCCACTCTACAAGCTTCTCTACCTCTGGTTTCGTGAGATGTTTGTTGCTTCCGTTCCTGCTGGCCACGGCCAATGGAATAACATCGTAGCGTTGCGCGTCTAGGTCGCGCAGCTTCTCTGGAGCTGTTGCAGGGTAGCAAGCAAGTATTTTGTGAAACGATGTGAGATTAATTTTGTTAACATGAAGCGAAGACATTGCTAGCAGACTTGTTACGTTGAAGGTGTGCAGACAAAGAAACAAAGAAATGGAAGGACGCGTTTCGAACGCTGACGCGAGATCACGTGCCGGACACGCATACGAGCCATCAGTTACTGGTGTATCTTTTGGATATCGCAGATAGTTACTCGAACACTAGTATCAAGAAAAGCATAGTTTAGTTATGGATTAAAGAGTTTGTTTATACGTAGTGGGAAATCTAACGTGAACTACTTTTTCAGATCTATCATCAAACAAGCCCCGAATATTCCTGCTCCTAAATGCAAGTTCTTCAGCTTGCTCCTTCGATAGAACATGTCAAAGCCATGTACAATGTCCACCTGTCCACCTGTCCACCATCATTCATAATCAGCCATCTCGAAACAGGCTCCATCTGATAGCGCATTACTGAGCAAAACTTGTTTAGAGGTATAGAAACATAATATTACGCCTCGCTAATGCAATCACAGAAGATCAGCAATTGACATGCTACGTCGTCTTCCTTGGTCGTCCCCTGGGTCGTCCCCGTCCCCGAGTACCATAACCTGTGCCTCTTGTAGGTTTCATTGTAGGACGGCCCGGCGGTCTGCCAACAGGTCTCTTGGGAGCGGGAGCAGTTGCAGGAACTTCGTCTTCACTCTCCGTGTCCGATATATTGATTGGCTGAGCTCTCTTGTTCACGGGAGTAAACTGTGATGGTAGGGCAGTACCATTGGCAGGCCCGTTGCTGCTGCGATCAGATGATCCAACAATTTTAATCTTCTTCCCGTTGAGGCCACTCAGAATCGAGTTGGTATGCTGAGGGGGGCCGTTTCGGACGGGCTCTGGGACACCAAGTCCAAGTTGTGCTTCGTCTTCAGAGGGCTCATCTTCGGTAGGTAGATCACCAAGAAAACTGTCCATGATTTGATCATCCTCGTCCGAATGGGGAAACAGGGCCATTTTTGTGCGGAGATTCTCTTTAGCATCAAGTGCTGCAACCTCCCGTGATTCAGCCTCACATGCTGCAGCCTCCATTACTTCGGCTGCTCGGAGTGCGGCTTCCATCGCCTCTGCGGCTTCTTCTGCGGCTTCTGCGGCTTCTGTTGCAGCTTCTGCGCGCGCGGTGGTCTCATGCACTCTGCGCTGGAGTTTTAAGGCAGTGGCAGCGGCCGTAGCCTGCTGTGCGAGCATAACTGCATCACTGGCCTCGGTATCTTCTTCATGAATGCCATCTTCATCGGAGGCGTTCCCAGAAACATCACCCACGCTTTCCTGATGCAGGTTTGCAGTGGGTCTTCCACTGGGTTGGATGTTAGCCGTCTCTTGTGCGGCCATAGTCTGTCGCTGTTCCTTGTACATTTGGTTCCGTTCCCTGTCTCTTTCGCGGCCGGATCTTACAGTGCCGTCCCTAAAATTTGGAGGTAGCTCAGTTGGTAGATCCTCATCACCTTCAGTTCTCCGTGCTAGCCATGTAGACCTACGGCTACGAGGCTGACTGACATATTCCGCCCCGTCTTCATCGGCAAACTCCTCGTCGGAATCCAGCGTGAATTCTTCGAATCGTCTGGGACCACGAGGCCTACCAGGCTTTGCAGGGCCGCTGTTCTCTGTGTTGCGCTTCCGTGTCGAGTATGCCCCATCATCCTCTACGCGAACACGATATGTCTTTGCTTCTTTCCCCTTTTCTGCCACTGTACCAGGCTGTTGCATCACATCCGATTGTAATATCGACTGCATGCCATGCGGCGTATCAATTTCCTCAGGAGTACTCTCGCGTACGACTTGTGCACGTTCTGGAACCGGTCTTTGGCGGATTCTGTCAAGAAGTCCCGTTGCCAAAGACAGTTTGACAACCTTCGATTTACCTTTCATCCTAGCAGTGACTAAGATGAGCCTGTCTTCGCGTCTGGCATCTTCAAATAGCTTCTTCTGTACTTCCTTCTGATATTGTTTTCCAGGTATACTCTTTGGCTGCAGTGGTTGCGACTCGTCCTTTTTTGGTTTCCTGGCCTTTGTTTTCTTCAGTTGACGATCCTCTGCATCGTTGTGTCCATCGCGGGCGCGTTTTTGACCAAGACGCGGGATCTCACCATCCATGCTAGGCTCGGGGTAGTACGAGTCTCCGTTGGCATTGTGGATTTGAGATGTGCTGGCAAGGCCACCGTCATTTTCCTCGACGGGAGAGTAAGTGATTCCGTATCTTGTATTGGCACGCTCGTCGTCATCAATAAATCGCGCATCGAGTGAAGGGTCTATCAACTTGTCCATCTCGGCTTGCTGCATTCGGCGTTGCATCGCGTTCTGGGCCATGCCATCCTCTTCTCGTAACCAGTTGAGATTGGAGACGCTGAAGTCGACAAGACATTCTACCGAGCGTACATCAGCTACCTTTTTGGTATCATGACCGAGCAGAGTTCCCTTTGGTTCATAGGGGTGCTGCCTGGGATCGCGCCGGCAAGCGCCCGTATTACAGACCCTCAAGCAGTGTGGGCATTTCCAATTGTAGGCCTCCATGACACCTACAGGCATCGTATCGTGTGCACGGAACAGCGTTCCATAGCAATATGCCAAATCGCAGCTGGAGCAAAATGCCATTTTCCATTTTGGGTGTCGATTAAGGCAGAAATGGCATGATTTATGGTTTGCTAGCCACTGTTTTGACTTTCTGTTCATGACCTTTTTAACATTGCCGTATTCGTCCACGACAGGTTCCTCGTCATCGGATACACTTTCTGGTTGCGGGTTTTTCATATCGACAAATGGGCGGATCCGTAATTGCTCCTGGCAGACCTGGGCTAGGGTCTTCTTGCCGAGGTACCTTCGTTCTTCTTGCAGTGGGAGTGGCGTCTTTTCGTTCACATGACCATCGATGTTGATGATTTGAGCACGCCATTCTTCGTACTTGTGAGTGAGGTCCTTCCATTTCCACTGCTCAACCCATGTGTAGCCCGATTGGCAACCACAGCTTCGGCCCATGCAATAACAATCCATGCAAACATCATATGGCTCCTCAATCTCAGAACTGAACATGTTCTTGCAAGACTTGCAGCTCAAGAAGCGGTTGAAAATGTTGCACCTGCAATACGAACATGTGACATTGCTGTCATATGCTAGGAACTCTGGGTGTTCCCGTGAGTCTGGCGCAAACATTTCTGAGAGAAGGATTTTCTTGTACAGGTCAAAGAGTCGCTTGAAGTCCTTCTGAATCTGCTTTACCTTGTTGGAGCGTCGAATCGCTTCAGCTTGCTCGCCGCCTGCCTGGATCTGGGCGCAAGCAATCTTGATGAGGTTTGAGTACTTGAGGAGGGTGTAGTATACGATAGCCTTGTTCTTGTATTGTTCATCACGGCAGACGACACGCGAATTAGGTAGCGCTTCGCTCAGAGCAAGTTCTAGAGTCTCTACGGTTGTGCGGTTCCAGGCGATTTTCATGGTACGAGTGCCACGATTCCAGACTTGGTGAGGTGCTAGTGGCGGGATCAGGATAAAATCTCCAGGACGCTGCTCTACGACATAAGTCCGAAATGGAGCCTTCTTCCAGGCGATGAGTTGTGCAAAATGGTTCTCAACCTCTATATCGTGGCCCAGTATTGAGAGCCAATATTCTGAGACAACATGGCGGTCTTTGCTCTCTGTCATGAACCAGATGGATGAACCGGGACGCTCTTGCTTGCCGTCTTCGCCAATGTTGGTGGAAGCATTCACCATGATATTCTGGCCGAGTGATGCGCACATCTCGCGATGTGAAGGTGTGTAGGTACCTTCGTGCCCAATATAACACATGAGATTCTCTGCGCGCATTTCGGGTGGCAAACTGCTCATGAGGTCTCCAGCTCTTCCAATGCCACGACCTTTGCGCACCCCAAACTCATCTGATGCACCAGGACCGTTTACATCGCCTGTGCTTTCATTCAGGTAGAACAGCCCAGTAGGGATATGCTCTTTGAGTTTGTCGTGCCATACCTGCGGGCAGTCTATGTCCTTCAGGTATATCCGTTGTCTCTTTTTGTCTCTGTATCGGTCGGGCTCGTCGAAGAACTGCTCAGTCAATTTGGGCATGTGCTTGAGGTAATGCTTGATAGTGAGAGGAATGTTTTCTTGCGTCAGGAGATTGCGTGCGCTCTCCACTGCATCTCTATTAGCTATGCGCTTAAGGCGGTCGCGACGTAGTCTGCATACCTTTGTCGCCATGGTTGTCGCGCAGCCATGAGGGCGTAAAGGTCCAGGGATCCAGTACCTCATCAAAGCCATCGATGACAAGAGGTTTACCACCTATGATTACATGCAACAATACGAGTTTCTCAAATGCTTCTATACCGTTGGTCGCAATCATTTCATACGATATGCGGTCGACATATTGAAAATTGTCGGCATTCTCGACAAAGGTGCGCACGTCAAAGTCTGGTGGGATGGGCTCAAAAGAAGCTCGGGGGCGCGCAGCTGGCATTGTTGCAGCCGTTCGCTGGCATACAGGAATCGAGTCGCGAAATCAGCGGGGTGGTAGTACGTGAACAGCAGTCGCTTTTGCGGCACAGTCGGAATGGCAAAACACGAGAATTTGCGCCGGATCAGTTGTTACAAGCGACCATGATCGCTTGGATTTCAAGAGCAAGTCCCTAGGGAAAGGCGCCTCAGTTCGGCTAAAGGGCAAGGAAACAAGTTGAGGAGATGTGGTCGCGAGATGCCTGTCGCGACTTGAACAATCACGTGTCCACGGGAATTAGCGCGAATTAACCTTCCGCACTCACCCTCACCAACCAGCAGCCCTCACCAAACATTAGCGGAGTGGGCCTGTCAAAGTTTGATCCTCACCATTACCCCAAATATCGCATATTTTCACAATGGGCATGGCCTACTGATAGCGCTAATGCGCGCACGTGTTCGACAAACAGCAGAATTCAATTCCCTAAGTGTACCAATCAGAGGACAGTACTTGCTGTCTTGACCTATCCGCTATGACGTTTTTAAAACTGTGTGCTGCACAGCCACCAAAATTGCATCGACAATACGCTGGTAGAGCATTCAAATCACGGTTCCATTACACCAATGGATTCGCATCGCAACTGGGACGAAACCGATCCTCGGCACCCCTGCTGCGCACCACACAACGACCACAACTTACTCAACTCGCCAAGTCCATACCTCTAAAGTCACTACAGCCCAGCCTTGGAGTCGCAACGGCAACGGCGCCACAAGATGCGTCATCAAAAACGCTTCAAAGCTACGTGCCACCCACTACCGGAATATTGTCATATCTGCCCCAGAAATTCGTCCCTTACGGCGAGTTGATGAGACTAGACAAGCCTACCGGGACCTACTATCTCTTCTTTCCATGCATGTTCAGTACACTCCTCGCTGCCACCATGGCTACACCTGTTGCCGCACCTTCTGCAGTCGTAGGAACGACAGCCCTCTTCTTCACCGGTGCACTCGTCATGAGAGGAGCTGGATGTACCATCAACGATCTCTGGGACCGTAACCTCGATCCACATGTTGAACGAACGAGGCTACGACCAATCGCTAGGCGAGCAATTACTCCTCTGCAAGCTCTTGTCTTCCTTGGAGGGCAGCTTACTACCGGACTTGCTGTGCTTCTTTCTTTTCCAGCTGAATGCTTCTGGTACGCTACGCCGTCACTTATATTCGTTACACTCTATCCTTTGGCAAAGCGAGTCACATATTATCCACAGTTCGTTCTGGGCCTCACGTTCTCCTGGGGTGCCATGATGGGCTTTCCTGCGTTGGGCATCGATTTGCTTGCAAACCAAGCGGCGTTGATTGCGGCTACATGTTTATATGCCAGCAATGTGGCATGGACCGTTCTATACGATATGATATATGCCCATATGGATATAAAAGACGACGTCAAGGCTGGCATTAAGAGTATTGCGCTCAAGCATGAGAAGGAAACGAAGCAAGTACTCTCGGGCCTCGCTGTTGCTCAGCTTGGTTTGTTATCCGCCATGGGAGTTGCAGCAGGACTTGGGCCGATCTTTTTCATTGGGTCAGTTGGTGGTGCAGCCCTCACACTGGGCACTATGATTCGCCGAGTCAAGCTGAAGGAGGTCAAGAATTGCTGGTGGTGGTTCGTCAACGGCGCATGGTTCACAGGAGGTGCCATCGGTCTGGGTCTCGCTGGGGAATATGTCGCGCATCTGCTTGGTTGGTATGAGGATGCTGAGAAAAAGAAGGAGCCAGGAAAGATGTATGTTAGTGTCTAATGCATTTTCCACATGATAGGTAGAGTTGTTGCGCAGTTATCTGACGGGAATATCTAGCTCTACGAAAGGAAGAGAAATCCCGTAACAATGGGCTTACGTCCGCTTTTTTATCCATCATAATGAGACAACCTCATGTTCACTGGATCGTACACCTCAGCCACTGTCGTCTACAAGCAGTCTTCCACGATGATCTACATTATTGGTTATATGCGGTCTAAGGCTTACCAACTCTATTGATCTTGTTCTAGCCATTGTACTGCAAGGTTGTATATTGGTATTCGAACTTGTCGAAGAATTCGATCTCCAAGGCGATAGTGGAGCCGTGTGAGCGTGCAATGGAGATGATTGTTCTGGGTCGTTTGATACTGGCATTGCTTGATTACTGATGGTACTATCAGAGGATGCGATGTCGTCGTTCATCTCGTATGCTACTACCGTATTTAGTGAATATGTAGATTATATGACAATAGGCAGGCGTACTTTGTGCCCGACTATATCTCAGTCGGCGATACAACACAAATACAAGAGCGTCTTGATGATGTAGACCGAGTAAGGCAACAATCACACTAAGAATACCAGCAGCCCCAAATATAATCTGTAGCGTTGCGTTTATTTCGCTGTCATGTTTGTTCGACATTGTTCAGCCTTGGAGTGAGGGTCTGCGGAGTTGTGATTGGTTGGTTGTATCGAAGAATGAGCCGTGTATCGAAGAACGAGCAGAAGGCGGGCAGTAAAACACAGATTAAGAAGCGGTGAACTGGCACAAAATGGCTGTGAAGAGATACTCCGAACAATTTTATGATTGTAAAATCGGCATGCTGTCGTTCTTTTAAAACAAATCTCATGTTTCTATCATGCTTGGATTGGCCAGGCGCAGCCCCCATATGTCGCTCGGCTTTGTCTCTCCGAGGCTACTTATCCACGGGTAACGTCCCGCTGCGCTAGATCCTCACGACGTACTGCTTACTGGCTTGACTAGCTTCGCTCTCCTGACTGTTGCAAGTCTTTCTGCCTGCTCTCTATCGGACTTTCCGTCTACTGTCTATAGGGCTTGCTGTCTCCTATGGGTGAACCGATAGAGATTATGATGACTATCACGTGATTGTGCGCTATCTGAAGACGGAGATTCTTAACATCTTAGCATAACTGTGGCCCATGAGAGCAGAAGTTTCTTCGAGCCAACCAGGCCCTACTTCTTCTTGCATGCGAGCGCCTCTAAAGACTGACCATGATAGTGATATGCAGTCAAAGCTGTAACAAGTTTCGCTAATTCGGTATTACTACTTTAAACATGATTCTTTGGTTATGACTGAGGCTCTTGCTAAATCAGTACAAATTCACTCCGCATCTACGCCTCTGGATCACAGTCGCAACATCTACTCTTGACACCGTCAAAATAGGGTCACAACATGGCCAGTGTATTTGTTCTTGAATATTATTCTGGTACATAATCTACTTGCTGTATTACAATATGTTTAGAATTTCTTACATAAACTAAGTTCCAATTCATCTTTCGAGATTGTTCGATTGCATGTTTTTGCCATTACGACCATTATACAGTATACTATGAGGTGCAATGTATGTTGATAAGGCAGGTAAGCAATATATGAAGTGGGCCGGGGAAACCCGGATAGATGTCCATCTTCTTGCTCTTGTGACATACCTGTAGGTCAAAAACCAAGCCTAGTTACCGAACGGACCCGTTAACTGATTTCTGTCGACATATAACCGTACCCAGCCTCGTACGCTGTTACTATGACTCTTTTCTCTTCCAGTTTCTCTTGAGCTCACTTCAGCTTTGATATACTCCTGTGTCTAACCAAACGAAACTTTAAAGTTGAAACTACCATATACGGGATAATTGTATGCGACAGGATCCTCGCAGTCAACTCGCTTCCCATCGTTTAGAGCATGCAATATGTCGTATCGCTTGACTACATTGCGAGGTATTGAGAAGATATTCGCATAGGAATCTGATCCAGATGTTGATCTAGTGAATCTGCCCTTAATATGATTCAAATGTGGCTTCTCTTACGACGTGGTCGAATGGTCAAGTGTCAAGCATTCAGTAAAGTAAGGACATGCTCGTATCCTCGACCCACATCAAGGCGTCCCTGCCAAGCGCGGCGTTCTGCCACTCGGGCCCGCCCAGTGACAGCATAGCTTCCCCAAACTCCCACATCCAGCTTCGCGCGACATCTCCGCGCCACATCTCCGCGCCAACTCTCCACTTCGGCGCCTCATACTTGCACAGAGCGCTGCAAGTAGTATATATAGTCTTTGTAACACCTGCCACTTGATCTGAGCGGCCAAAGACACAAACGCGCCCCAGCAATGGCTTCGCGACTGGTGCTGGTCCTAGGCGACCTCTTCATACCAGACCGCGCTTCGGTACGTCCTCCCAAGCCACACGTGTATTGCTCGAACCTCACAGACTCACAGGCGACTTAGGATATACCGGCAAAGGTACACACTTGTTGACATTTCCTTTGCACTGCCGATTGGACGTTCCAACGTAAACACACAGAAGAGACGCATGGGCTCACACCACCCCGCAGTTCAAGAAGCTCCTCGCACCCGGCAAGATCGGCCAAATCCTCTGCTTAGGCAACATAACCGACCGCGAGACGTACGAATTCCTGCGCGGGATTGCGCCCGATCTGCAGATTGTAAAAGGCGACTTTGACGTGGAAGCGCCAAATCTCGCACTGTCAAAAGTAGTCACACACGGCAGCCTGCGCATAGGCTTCACGCACGGCCACACCATCATACCACCGGGCGATGGTGACAGTCTGCTGATAGCGGCGCGCCAGATGGACGTCGACGTACTCTTGTGGGGCGGGACGCACAAGTTTGAGGCATATGAGATGGAGGGCAAGTTTTTTGTGAACCCTGGGAGCGCAACGGGCGCCATGTCGACGGGTTGGTGGCCCGAGGACGAAGATCCCACCCCGAGTTTTGTCCTAATGGACGTGAGTCTTTTTTTTCCTTTTTACCTTTTTTTTACCCCGCGAAACATCAACCTGTCACACACACACATGCATACACATGATGTGATGGGGAAGTTAGGTGTGGAGCAAAGGAGAAAGCACGAGGCTAACCAGGGGGCGTGCGCGCGCAACAGGTGCAAGGTGACGTGCTCGTCCTGTACGTCTACCAACTCCGCAAGGACGCCGAAGGCAATGAGAACGTCGCAGTGGAGAAGGTGTCATTCCGGAAGAACGGAGGTGGTGCAGCATAGACTGGAAGATCAATGATTGTACCAACGAGCGATGACGACGGAGTGGGGTGTGGGTTGTGGAAAGGCTTGAAAACGCAGATCATAAAATGCGTTCGTTGTACAAAGCATTTTCCCCCCAGACTAGCAGTTAAGACCATGATTCATGTGTTTCCTCCTCAACGAATAGCGAAAGTTGCAGGGTCCCACTGCATCACAAGATAGCCATTGTGTGCTCCCTTTATTTTACCCCTCTTTCTCTTGTCTCTCTCTCATTTGCCCAAATGAACCTCATCAAGACGATCTTTCTTCTGGTGTTCGACTCGTACACAAACGTGCAGAAAGTTTATTTCTCTCAGCTCTTTTTGACACCTACGTCGTGATCTGCAAAAAAAACATAAGTCATTTATCATATCCCCTTAGTAGACTAAGATATTTCCCTCGGACCCCGAGAAGCTTTCGTATCTTAGCACTAGTGCCAACTTTAGGGCTACTACTATCCTATTACTAATCCTCTTACCTTCCCTCCCCCCCCCCCGGTGTATTATTTGCATAGCACAAGTGCAGACAGATCTAAAATGTCTCAACCACGTGGGTATGGAGAAAGAAGCTATTATACGCATTTCCTGCATTGCGTGAAGCATAAACGCGGTGTGTACTTAATTTTGGTACACCATTGAAACTCCTGTAAGGGTTTGTGGCTTTTTGTGCACACCGCATATCATGGTGACATGTATGCATATCGCAATGAGGAAACAATTTGCAGCGACATGTATGTATGTATGTGTGTGTGTGTGTGTGTGTGTAAGTTATGCCACGTCTTTCCGTCCATCACCATGTATCATCCATTCCAACCCCCCTCCCTTTCCCCCTTTGTTTTTTTGGTTACTAATCTCCACTCTTCTCCTTTACTAGGAGTTACACAACGTTGGTAGAAACACATCACCTACTAGGTCTACGTATCTGTGTATCCATCACCACATACACTACTTTTCTTCACCGGAACAAATAAAACACATGCATACATTGTTGTTGTTGTCGTCTAAAAATCTTTTTTTAATGGGGTTCGGTATGCGTTTTCCTAACCAACACATCCCCTCCCTCTTTTTTTTGTCTTCCTGCTGCCCAACCAGCGTCAGCAAAAAAAAAGATGAGAAAAGCCCAAAATCAAGTGGTTCACACGTACAGCTGTCACCGAACCCACTTGTTGATTGGCTACGCAACTATGTGACGGGGGCCGAAGCGAGAACGACTTGTTCGTTTCTAACTCGCTTGGGCTTTTTCTCCTCTTTTTTTGTTGGTTTGGCGGCCTGAAAGAGGAATAATGTACATATTAACATATAATTGGATCTCTATACACTTCAACATACACGTGGATAACTGGGTCCCCTCAGCCAGCCAGCTAGCGAGCGCGAACGGTGCAGAGTGGGTTCGATGGAAGGGGGTGTTGGCAAGTTCGTGTTAAGCAGGGAAAGAAGTGGGGGGGGGTGGGGTGCAACGTTCAGAGATAGAGGAAGAGAAGGGATGGAAGGGAAACAGAGTTTGGGTGGGATGTTGATCGTCATGCGTTTGTTGTAGTACGCCCCGGTTTTCTTTCATTTTAGGTAGCTGAGGAGCGGGAGGATACGGGAGGAGGGAGAGAAAATGGCATGATTGAGGCATCAGCATGTTTGGGTAAGGGGGAATGATTTGCATGTAGTTTAAACGGACCGGAAAAAAAGAAGGCGATGCTACATTGCCATTGTCCATTATAGAGTGGCAATGGGGTAACACAACATGCACATGTACGGTTGGGAGAAGGGGGGCTAGTAACCCTTTTTTGCTTTCTCTTTCTTTACTTTTTCCTGGGTGGGATTGAAAGAACGGTTCGTTGGCTTCTAGCTCTGGTCGGCGTCCCGCTGGTTCAATACATGCTTGACGGCGGTACCGACCTGTTCGAACACCGCCGGCATACAGGCAATCATACCCCAATTGCGCTCACCTTTGATCTTACGGCCGGCAGAAAAGTCAATCTGCTCGCCGCGGAAGTCGCTAATGATGCCGCCGGCCTCCTGGAAGAGCAAGTGGCCGCCGGCGTGGTCCCAGATGCAAGTGAAGCGGTCGAGCGTCTTTGGAATGCGCACCATGACGTCTGTTGCGCCGAGGGTGAGAGCCACGTATTTCATCTGCTGGGACCAGAGCACGGTGCCTGGCCAGCTTGCACTGAGGGCAGTGGCAACAGCTTCGTGTTCAGTCTGCGAGAGCGACGTCTTGCCAATCGTAGCCTCGACAAAGTTTAGATCAGATGTCTGCTTGGGCGGTAGCGTAGTCAGGTCCACGTGTCGGGCGTGGGCTCCAGGACCGCTGGCTTCCATGGTACGCAGAAACGTGCCTTGACCCTTGACTGCGGAAAGAACCACGCCATAGCCGTCGCTGTCGACGTTGTCTTCGCTGATGTGTATCGAGCCCAGCGTGCCTTGCAGAGGAAAAGCGAGGTTCGGACACGCAATCACGCCCACTTGTTGTACGCCATCAACGAGCAAACACAGACAAACGGCGTACTGCTGGCCCCGCATAAACGTTGCGGTGCCATCGACGGGATCCATGACCCAGACACGTCCTAATCCCGTGACTTGGCCGTTGCCGCCCCGGTCAATCAGATCGAACATGTCCTCCTTGGACGCGGGAAATGCTAGCACTGGGTCCTCGTTCAGGTCGTGCGCAGCAGCAGCGGCGGCAGCAGTACTCGCAGTTGCCTCCTGATCTTTGCCGTTTGCATCCAGACGCGCATCAGCCTCCTCTTTTGCCTGTTGCACAAGCTGCCATACCCGGTCAGCCAGGGCCTCGTTTTGGCGCAGTGCATCTGCGCTCTCCTCGCCCAGAAAGGCGTCGTGAGGATACGCGGCATGAAGTGCGGAGATGAGGAGTGCTTGTGCGGCAAAGTCTGCAATCGTGACGGGACTGTCGTCTGCTTTGGTTTCGGCAGACACGTTGTTGGAGAGGCTCCGGAGCACCGACTTGGTGAGGACGGATGCACGGTGGACGGCGCGCAGGGCGAGTCGGAGCTCTGCGGTATAGGCCATTGCGGGGGTAAATTCGCGGGGGCAATAAAATGTCCACTATGTGGTACGTATTGCAAAATTGCTACTACCGGCGGTGTTTAGACAATGGTTTCAATGGCTTTGTTCAGATGAGGTGATGGTCGTGTTAGAAGCTACTTTGCAAGCGCACAGTAAGCGAGGCTGGCGTGACTTGAGCATTCTGAGTAGGAAAAAAAAGCTTTTTCTTTTTTTTTTGCACAATGAAGCTCAGTCTTTACCAACAGATGCGAGAGACAGAAACCCTACATGCTACCATGAGCAGGATACATATCAGACATGGTGGACCGCAGATATCCTGCTAATAACGCCACCATCATTCCATTAACTTTTAATACGGACCATGATTTGAGTTATCTCAAAGTCAAGCAGACGGCCCGATTCTACGCTTGATCAGGAGAGTATGGTGTATCGTAGAATGCCATTAGGACCCTGAGAAAAAAAAATCGTTGCGGCGTATCTCCGATTCTACCCGCAGGACCCTCTCGTCGCCAACAGAGGCGAGTGGGAAGGATAGCCGTTGAAAAGAGAACCCACTATGAATCCACCCGCCTCAGCAAACGGGCCGATGTTTCGGGGTAGTTCTAAACCCGGGAGATGACCATCAGGGATCAAGCGAGCACAGAGAACGAGGCTGCTCAACAGCAATGCGCGCCTCAGGGTTTGCGCTCGGTGCTAAATTGATGCATAGAGGACACTACACCTAGAGTGAACTGCTTCTGTTACTCAAGTTACACAGCATGCGGTGGCCTGCGACGAAAAGGGATTGCCTGTTGCGGGGTGCAGCGCGTATATGTATGTATCTGACGCGGATGCACCGGGAGTGAAGGGCATTGGTTGGGTGACATGGGCGTGCTATGTACGTACCCAAGTAAGTACATTACTACAGATGTTTCTGTTTCCAAGGACAAAGTGTTTAGAATTCTATGCGCCAACTATTGGGCAAGTCGTGTCCTGCATCATCTTGCATGTCGAGCACATAAGCGACCAGCTGCGCCGAGGGTAGGGGTATGCTGTTGTTAGATGAGGCCTAGATGCTCTAGCTGCATCGCCCTGAGCCCTAATATCGGCGATGAGAGGAGAAGGTTTGGGTATTAGCTAAGTGCAGCATGGATGTGAATGCATGGATATTGAAGGAGATATTTTGGGGCATTGTTTGTGTGGTTTGTTGGGGCTGACAGGCGTGTCAAAAGCACAGTGAATGTCAAGGCATGTCGCACGCACGGCTGCAAGCAGAAGGGCGCACTATAGTGCTTGTGGAGAAGGGCAATGTAGGAAACGAAGGGTGTTTTTGGATCCAATAGTCGGCACTGCCTCGATTGTCGCGGTGCTGAATCGCGCGCGGGCGGGACGGCAAGAAGGGACAACCAGATAAGCACAGTTTCAAGGGGGCCAGATTAGAACAAGTGTGGATGTGGCGATAAGAGGGAATGGAGTTGGTTCCTGCAGACGAGTGTAAGCGTCAACATGTTCACTTTTGTGCCGTGCGCCATCTAGGGTCCTGCAGCAACGAAGGACGTCTGCATCTAGGCAAAGAGGAGAAGCGTGGGGGCTGTCTCTGAACGCGTATGTATTATAGTTTGGATGGGAGGAGTGCATGCAGGCTGCTCGTGCTCGTGCTCGTGCTCGTGTTGGATACAGGCGTGCAAGTGACTTGCAGTTGAGGGCAGGGTGGTGATTCGTCCGGAGGGGGCATGGGGAGGGCATGGGGGGCGTGAGGGCAGCTGGAACGGTTTGGTGGACGGTTGCTGGTTGCCTGGGCTGGTAGGGGCGCGGTTGCGTGGGCCGAGCGTTCTTATCTCGCTTGCCCTAGGAGGGAGGGAGGGAGGGGGGGCGGCCATAGTGGATGGAGGACGCTCTGGAATGGTTTGCGCAAGCCATTGACAACGGGAGAAAAATATTTGAGCACGAGTTTGTGGAACGGATAGAGGCCGGCGTCGCTGAGGCCGAAAGCCCGGATTGGGCGGGCTGGCCTGAGCAAGAGTCCAGATCAGTCTGCCGGGGGTGACGGATTGGGAGAAGCAAGGCGTGAGGCGCTCAGCAAGAGGCGAAGCGAGGCATGAGACACTTGCAGGCACATGCCTGAAGAGTTCGCAGCATCGAGAGATGGGGGGGGGGTTAGAGTATTGGGAGAAGAAAAGGTTGTGTTGAGAGATCGCACGAGGCGTTGCGGAGGCGAAAGTTGTGAGGGTGGTGTGTCGTGCATGGGGAGGTGGAGATGGGTTGCTGCAGGACAAGGCAAGTGGTTCTCCTACTAAGATTGGCAAACGGCATCGAGCACGTCAATGGCGACAGATAACGTCTTCAGTGTCGCAATAGGCGGCAGACATGGCTCAGTGGGGCCAAGAGGGAGAGGCACAAGGGGGGGTGGAGGGGGAGCTTACGCGAGCGGAAGCAAAAGGAAAGAATAGTTAGTAGAGTCTATGTGCGTATAGTTTGGCAGTGTGACGGCAGCAGAGGGACGTGGTGATGGATGGGATGGGATGGCAACGGGCATGCAGGGCGGTGGGCTGGAGCGAGGGCAGCGACGCCCCATGACTGCTGAAACCGATAAGAGGCAGTGTGGTTGTGGAAGAGGGGCATGGAGCTTGAATAGGAAGCCTTGTTCCTAGATTTGCACATGGCAGTCATCTGCTGCGCAGGCGCAGGGCCGGGGCAGATGACTAGAGTAGCACTGGCTGCGCAGTCACGCAGTGCGTGCAAGAGTGGGCAGAGTGGGCATGGCGGGCAGAAGAGGGTGGGCGTGGGAGGTGAGGAGAGGAGGGCAGAGGGCAGAGGCGAGAGGGGAAGAGAGGCGAGCGGAGGTGTCAGCAGGCAGAGGGCATTGGGAGCCATGGCAGCCATGGCAGGCAGTAAACACCGCGGCCGAAGATTCTGGTGCATATCCGCACATGTATGTAGGTGCGTGTAGTGTACACTACACCTAGTGGTACACTACACCCACGTCGAGGTGCGCATTCACACGGCGTTTGGGCTGCACAGGGCGCGAGAGAGAGGCATAGGGCAGGCATAGTGTAGGCATAGCAGGCAGAGGGCGTGGGCGTGAGGGGTGCATGCAGCGCTCGAGGCTACAGCGCTTGCGACGAAATTCAGACGTCGTTGGTTGCTTGGCTGCATGGTCAGCCCGTGCGGAGACGACCAGGGATGGCCGAGGACCCTGTCGGCACCATCTGCTGAGAGGCGACTAGGGTCAGCCGTAGTCTGCCTGCCTGCCTGTGTGTGTGTGCGTGTGTGGATGCGTGTGTGGATGCGTGTGTGTGGGTGGGTGCGTGTGGATGCTGCCAGTGTGCCTGAGCGCAACTTAAGTATATCCCCCATCCACTCCCTCCCGCCGCCGCTCCACACACGGACGCTTCTTCCGCTCCACCTCGCTCTATATCTCTCTTGCCTGACCACCCTCTCTGACTCCCATTCTCACACACATACCACCCGCTGCCCCTACATAGCCTGCTGCCTGTCCCTCCGCCCAAAGGCCTGACTACACCCTGCCCCAGCGACTCACTCCCGTCGCCCTCTCTATACATATATAATATCAACCAACACCACCACCACCACCACCACAATCACCCCATCCGCCGCAATGGCTTCCCAAATGGAGTGCTTCAACGACTTTTGCCTCTCCTGCGACCGCCAGATTGCCGAGAACGGCGTCTACTGCTCGCAATCGTGCCGCCTGGCCGACCTCGAAAGGGCCGGCACCACCGCACAAGCACCCTCGCAATTGTCCTCCTCGGCCTCATCATCATCCTCGTCCAACAGCGGCTTCTACCTCGCCCCCGCAATCAACTTCTCGGCATACAAGGCGGCATCCACCACGTCGCAAGCAGTCCCCTCGAGCCCCTACCACTACTACCCCACCGCAAACGGCAGCTACTTTGCACCCCCCACGGCAACCAGGCAATCACCCCAGCGCAGCCTGACTCCCTCGTCATCACGCTCCTCGCTCGCCTCTTCGTCATCATCATCACGGACTCAATCGGGCATCTCGCAGCAAGCGGCCACGCAGCTCAGCAGCTACGTACGATCGTTTGACCAGACCCGAGACGTCAAGAGGAGGTACACACAGTACTAGGCCCCTTCGCCCCCTTCTGCCAATCCCGCCCTTGCGAGGTTGGCCTCACGACATTAATGACGGCGGAGCCTTTATCCCCTTGCGTCCTTGGGCTCTCACTGCCCTCCCTCATGTTCAGTTTTGCATTCGGTCCCATGGCCTCGCCCGCCTGGGACTGGCATGGGTCTACGGAGTTCACCTGCATAAGCACCACCGCTGCTCTCCCTTTTTCCATCACCTACTAGTTCTGTACCATTTCCTTTGTCAAGATACGTGGATGCGCGGTGTACGATCAAAAGTATTTATATCCATATCCCCTTTGGTGTTTCTGGGGGAGCGCGGGGCCGAGTGAGCCCCAGTGTTTTGTGTTATCAGGAGCATTTGCAGCCCCGGCGATGGGTTTGCTCGTAGTTGGGACGGTTGGATATCCTCTGTTGCGAGAGCCGACCGCGAGAGTCGTGCCTGCTTTTTCTCACCTCACCTCACCTCACCTCTACCAATAGCTTAGTAGTAGCAATTCCTCAAATGGAAGCCACGACCACGGGCATAGACTCGTGGTCTTTTACACAAACACACAAACACACACACACACACACACACACACATTCACATACATGTTCCCATACACACCTTTCCCCTATACAGTGATTGATGACTTGAGGCTCGTCCACCCCCTCGTCAGCACGTGATGAGGCAATCTTCTCACCTCATGTCATCCATCCAGTGCATAGCCTCATACTCAGATAAGCCCAAGACGAGACAGGTGAGACAGACAGGGTGCGCAAGGCTTAGTCCCTCTCCCACGCCATGGACAAGGCGGTTTAAACTTTGATAGCCGCGCAATGCCCTAGCCCACACATGGACGGTGACTGTGCAGGGTCACAATTGGGGGGGGCATGAGGCACGGCTAGGCCCTGCCCGCGCGGGAGTGCAAGGCAGAGGAAGAAATTTTTTCTCTCCCTCACGGTGATCCAGAAGCCAGCCACAGCCTGGCGGCAGACGACGGGCATCAGCAAGTGAGGACGCGGTGGCGAGAGTTGGACAGCAGGGAGGGTGGGCTGTTGTTGAGAGGGGTTTCCCAACGAGCAGGGCAGCATCCACTCTGGCGCCGTGTCCCCTCCCCTGGGAAGAGCGAAGGAGTTGGCCATGTTCCCTACTCGTCGCCTGTGCCCCGACTCGCCCGCCAACGCCCCTGGCATCCCTGTGATTGGCCCAAGCGTCGGACGGGGTGGGGCGCCTCATAGCTTGGCTTCTCCGCACTTTGGTGAACGGCCCGTCCATCGTCATGGGCACCGCCGACTCCCTTCAGTCCGCCACTCACTGTGCGTGCGAGAAAAAAAAGCAATCGTCCCACCCTCCGTCATGCCGCCTTTCTCACCACGAGGGAGGGGGGGGAAATGTCGCCATTGCGCGACATTGCCAGCGTCATCCCAGTGGCCCAATCTACTCCTACTACTTACTGCCTTCGAGTGCAATCGTCATCGCTGTGCCATGCATCGTCGGCCTCAGTTGCAAAATTAGCACCGTACGCTACAAACAAAGGCCTCATGCCCACCCCCCCCCCCACGAGGCAATTTTTTTTCCTTCTGCTCCCCAGGCCGCGACGACTTTCCTGCGGTCCCCCATCCGCGCGCTGCCAGCTCACCAGGGCTCCACTTGGCAAGCGAGCCCCGGGAATCATAGTGGACCGTCCGGGCCCCACGGCTCTGAGGGCTCTGAGGGCTCACGGCACATTCCCTCGGACGTGACTATGTAACTTATTTCCATGCTAGCGACTCCCGGTGGTTAGGTCATCGACAGAGGCGCAGGTGCGACGACTGTCAAGCGCTCGTCGTGTGACATGGAGCTAGTGCCAAATCCCATCACACCACTCACAGTCCACCTTTGCTCGCTTGCTCTCGCCTCTGCCTGCCAGTCTGCTCGCCGCAAGGGCCTGGTGAACTATTCCGAGATCCGAGCACTTGGACATCGATACCCGCGACAGGTTGCCTCAAAACATTGAGCCTTGTGCTTGCACCGCTTGCGGCACCCTCTCTCACTTTGCGTCTGCCTCGCATGCAAGCTGCCTACTCTCCTCGCATCTCGTCCCGTCTTGAGCTAGCCCAGGCCTGCCGCTCTCTTGCGCAGGGTTAGGCTGTTCGGATGTTGAGTGCACGCAAAGACCACTTGTCGCGACGGACCGGAGAAGGCTACCACGTCCCCGACGGCAAACCCGAGCACACAGGGCGTGTTGAGCCTCTTCCAGACTCTCAGAAGCCGAAAACACGCTACCACGCCGCGACACAAAAGCAATTTCTCCTTCTTCAACAAAGGCTGCCTGCATCCTCGGGCCCCCTAGTCATTGGTACCTTTGCCCGTTGTCTGCGAGCCAGTTTCCGATGTTCGGCCCGGAAAGGTGAGTCACTAGTATATTCTCGATGCTGTGCGAACGGCTGGCCGATCGTCTCGCCCTCCGCATCGCCCTGTGTTTATGGACCCCAAGGTATTTGCAATTTCTTCTCCACACACACACACACAAAGATAGATGCACAATAAAGTCGCCAATGGTGTCCGAGCGGAGGCCTTGCATGCGTCCGTTCCTGTCAGTACGCCGATCACCCATACTCATGGGGACGCCCATCGCCTAGCCGAACGATAGATTGAACTCAACCGCATGGAGCGTAGCTAGGTGCAGGCGCAAACGTCCAGATGCGTACATGTGTGTAACCTGTTCGTCTTACAGGGGGGCGTTATCAGTCTTGGTGACAGTGCTTAGAAACCATACGATGATCACGTTTGCCTCATGCAAGGAACGCGCACGGCAAGCGTCATCGCGATTGACAACGCCAATATGCACTGGAGCGATCATTTAAAATCATCTAACCTATCGCGTCTCCTCGCCTATCACGCTGGCTTCGACCTGTGAACTTTGTCGTTTCACCCTCACGCACAGACCCCACTCTTACACAACCATGTACACTAGTATACTCATCTACACAGTTCGCCCATCACTCTAGTTCATGCCTTGTTTCTGATAAACAGGCAGTTGGGCGGACTCCGTCTCTCATGGCCAAGTTACAATAACCACCGGTCTTGGGCGACAAGCAAAATGCTTGTGCTAGCCGTGTCACAAGGAGTGCGAGATAAGACAGCTGCTGACTCGAGATTAGGAATTGTAGAAGCGCATGATTACATCATGAGTAATTTCCAATAACAATCCAATCGGCCTCTCCGCTAATGTTACTGACTCGCTCGAGGATTTCCCAATGTAGAGGTTCGCTGCAGGGCTACACGGCACGCGCCGTCCACGATCAGATCGCCAGATCTCTGTCGTTTGCATGTAACCCAATGCGTTCCGTGCAACTGGCAGTCACGCACGGCACATTGCGCACGCCTCGTTCCCAAAGCATCACTCGCGCTAGCTAAGGCAGATTCCAATACATTTTTGCTTCACATTTACGCCATCGTCGTCTCTAGTGCATTTGTCTTCTGAACAGCGCCATCGCAAAGTACCGGAGCTAAGGTAATCCACGTGGACACCGAGAAACGCAAACAGGTTGTACAAGCACCGCCACCAGTATACATAAACTTTTGACGACAAGGCAACTGTGTCTATAACATGTGTTTCCTTGTTCTTTACGCCTCAATGCTGAGCCAAAAGCCCAAACAGTTGTTTTGGGCAGCCACACACAAACACAGTGTCCCACAGCGAATCGTCACCGTCCGAAATACCACCGCTGCAGCCAAACAGAAAGAGTAGTGACATGTTTTGCCAACTTTTTATTCTTTTTTGCCGCGTCAAACGCACAGAGGT